AGTTGCCTGGTCCTCGCCTACCATCATCGCACTCCTTGTTGGTGCTGTCATATCTGGCCTCCTGTTCCTTGCAGCAGAAGGGTGGGTCGCAAAAGAGCCAATAGTACCACTCTCCCTGCTTCGGCAGCGTGACGTGATGGTGTCGAGCTTTGTTATGTTTTTCCAATCTTCTGCACAGGTCGGCCTCATGTTCGCGGTGCCACTCTACTTTCAGATCACCTCGGGCGCATCCAACACTGTTGCTGGTGCACATCTTGTCCCTGCTGTTGTCGGAAACGCGCTAGGTGGAATCATCTCCGGCACAATCATCAGCCGTACTGGACGCTACAAGTTCCTCATCCTGGTCGCTACATTAGTGTCATCCACAGGTTATCTTCTGCTAATACTGCGTTGGCACGGTAACACTAACTGGCTTGAGTCACTGTACATCTTTCCAGGAGGTTTTGGCATGGGTATTGTTCAATCAGCGCTTTTCATCAGTGTACAAGCAGCCATCGACCCTTCTTTCGCAGCAATCGCAGCATCCACGTTGTATCTCACTTCATCAGTTGGGTTTCTGGCTGGTATGGCTGGCGTCAGTGCCGTACTGCAGGGCACGTTGAAATATGGACTGGGCCATCGTCTCGACGATATTGGTATCGGAGGCGAGAAGAAGTGGAAGATTATACGGCATGCCCTTGAGGACGTTCATTACGCGGGCAAGGCCAAAGAGAAAATCGCGAAGGTGGTCGTTGGGGCGTATATTGATGCGCTCACCTGGACTCATGGTAAGACCAGCCTCAACCACAAATTCTCAGTCTTTGCTAACTTTGACAAGTCCTCTCGCTCGTCTGTTCTCTTATCGCATTCGCAGGGAGTCTATTTCTGCGTCAGCATAAGCTATGATGCTCGAGCAAAGTCTCCCGCGGTATCGGCTAGACTACAAATCTTTCACCTTCGACTTAAAAAATTGCTTTTTCGATTCACCACGGGTCAGCAGAATTGCATCCTGGCTAAAATTGCGATTGAAGTAGTGGGTCACAAAATAAATACCATTTCAATGTACTGTACTCATTACGCACAACGATGGTTTCGTTTACTGTCCACCCTATGGGAGATCGCCGTGACAACTATGTCAGCTTTCTCTACTATCTTTACACCCGTCTGTTTATGACGGATGCCCCTAGCTATCGTTTGCCCAAAAAAAAAGCCAAAATATCTTGTTCCTTCATAGCAATCCTCCTCGGTCGTAGGTCGATCATGAGGACGGTTCCCCTCCCCCTGGGCTTAGGCTAGTGTATGCCGGCTGCCTTTGGCTGCAGCCTTGAGCTTGAGATGTCACATGTTTCCCACGATCGTCCAGCCTTGGGTCTTTTCCCTGCCAAAAAAGGAGATGGCTGGGTTAAAAGTCCTGTGTCACAATCCAGGTCGGCGCGCCTGAACGAGCAACACAATTTATTGGCAGATATTGCAATCGCGATACTGTCCACTGTCAATTATATATCTAGCGCAGTGCGGCTTCACTTCTTACACTTGACAAAATGATTGCAGATTCATGTCCTGTAAGACTTGACCTGCCCCTGTGCCTGGCAGACGAGCCGACCCGAGTTGCCATGTCCGAAACTGTACCATGGTTCACACCCTTGGCGTGGGTCGTTACAACAGCAACGCTGGTTCTCAACAATTGTGTCTACCTTAGAATTCATCGGCCTACGCCATCCGATCAAAAGTCAGGACGTCAATAGGGCTTCTGTTGAGCCCCGGGTGGCAGGAAATGAACCAGTTTTGACAACGGGGATGCTGGCATTGGTAGCCCAGCGAGTCTTCAGCCTGTCACAAGCACTTAAGACAGTACTTGAGCCCGCCATTCGCTACCTTGGTTCTGTCATTTCCATCTTGATTTGCTCCCACCATGCTGGCTGCACGTGTATTGTTGTTTGGTCCTTTGGCAGTAGCCTCACCACTCCTGGTGGAGCGCCGTCAAGGCTACGCAGCCCCTGAAAGCTGCCCCGTGGCCTCGTGCGGTTTCCCTGGCTATCCCAACGATCTTACTGAGTCATATGATACCTTCCCTGTTGACACCAATTCAAACCTCTGTTCTAAGACTTGTGCATCGCACAAAACCTGTAAGACGTGGTCAATTGATTTCAACAACTCGCATTGCTATCTATATCACAAGGAGCTGTAAGTATCCGTCCTTGACCTTGATTTTGTTGGAACTAATAGTTTAAGGGATGAAATTGTTGTCAGCCGTGAACCGGACTGGTCAAGCCCTTTCAGGATCTACAGCAAGTGCTGTGCTAAATGGGATGGGGGTCTTGATCTGCCTTGGGCCACACCTGAGCCATCTAAACCTGCATTCGAGGAGCATCCTGAGGACTTCGAATATGAAGAGTACGAAGAGATTGAGAACGTAGAGCAAGACGAAGTCGAGTACCAAGGAGACGAGTATGAATCCGAATATCCAGAGCACGACGAAGAATATCCGGAGCACGAGGCTGATTCTAAAAATCCTTCACTGCCAACTTCAAGCAAGAAACCCTTGAAGTCAACCTCAAAGGGTGCGATGTACCCTCCACCTTTGCGCATTTCTACGGCGACCTCGAAGATTTCAAGCTACCCACGTATCTCCAAGTCGAGCGCTCATCCGACTACCTCATCTTCCAAAGTGTCTAGCTACTCCCACATCTCAAAGACTAGTTCGCTGTCAACCTCATCATACAAGGTCTCCAGCTCCTCGCTCACCTCTAAGAGCAGCTCGCGTCCTCACCCTACAAGCTCGAGCTCGAAAGCGTATGGCTTCTCACGTACCTCGTCCAAAGCGACTGCTACGTCCACTCCAAATGGTTCAAGCGTCTCTCGTAGCTCGTCTAAGTCTATCTCTTCGTCGAGCGCAGCATCGACACCGAAAAGGTCCACCTCCTCTCGCGTAGTCTCGACGCCGAAGAGCTCCAGTTATTCCCAGACTTCTTCCAGATCAAGCGCCAAGTCAAGCGCGACGACCACGCCCAAGACTACAAGTTCTTTTCATGTGTCGTCCAAGTCCAGTGTATTTTCGACTCCCAGAAGCTCAAGCCTCTCGCAAAGCTCGTCGAAATCGAGCGCCCAGTCGAGCGCAACGACGTCGACGCCCAAGATATCTAGCTCATCCTCTTCACGTGTTTCATCCAGGTCGAGCCGGACCTCGACTCTAAAGAGCTCCAGCGTCTCTCGCTCGTCATCCAAATTCAGTGCAGTCTCAAGCCAAATTCGTTCCAGCGCCTCGGGCACGTCATTGATATCGAGCGGGACCTCAACTCTAAAGAGCTCTTCAGTCTCCCGCACATCATCAAAGTCGAGTTCAGCTTCATCATCAAAGTCAAGCTCAATCTCATCTTCAAAGACTTCAAGTGGGTCTAGCACGTCGTCGAAGTCAAGTGCATCGCCAACTCCAACAAGCTCAAGCGTCTCGCGCACATCTTCTAGACCAAGCACATCTCCTAGGTCAAGCGCATCTTCTACAATAAGCAACACCTCTGCACCAAAGGCTTCGAGCATCTCTAGCACGTCGTCTCAGTCCTTAAGTGCAATCTCAACAGCAAAGTATTCAAGCTCCGCATCGATTTCAAAAAGTTCATCCGCCTCCCACATACCAACTCAGTCGTCGAGCGCCGCCTCAACACCGAAAAGCTCAACTATTGCCGCCTCATCATCTAGGTCATCGACTGCCCCCTCAACACTAAAGACTTCTAGCGCGACATCAATATCGAAGAGTTCCACTATATCCAGCACATCACTTAAGTCGTCGAGCGCCACGTCGACACCGAAGGCTGCAAGCTCTTCACAATCATCTTCAATTTCAAGCGTGAAGTCTAGCGCCACATCTAAATCGAAGGCTTCCAGCTCGTCGGGTACTTCCTCTAAAACATTCACTTCGTCCACGCTCAAGACTTCTACCCCGTCACACACCTCTACCAAGTTTAGCGTAATCTCTACTCCGAATATCCCGAGCTCCTCACGCACCTCGAACAAATCCAGCCAGCGGCCTTCTACAACGCCTGCATCAAAAACTTCTAGCTCTCTTTTCACCGCGAAATTATCTTCGAAGGCGTCTAGCTCTTCCTTCATCACGAAGTCTTCGTCCGAAGCAACTAGCACACTAAGGTCGTCTTCAAAAGCGTCCAGCATGCTGAAATCTTCTTCCAAGATTTCAAGCCACGCTTCGAGCACCAACTCCAGCGTTCATCCTACCTCGTCCACTTATGAAGGTCCGAGCTACCAATTTCAGACTAGCAAGAACAAGTATCATGCTCCAACGCCCACGTCTGAGGAGGTCTATGCCAAGCCGAGCATCAAGGTGGAAGATCACCCCGAGTATACACCTGAGGCGGAATTTGAGGTTTAGATGCAGAATAGCTGCGAGATTGAGTTGGAGACGAAGGAGAATGCGATTGGGATGCGGGTATCATCGGTAGATAGTCGCACATTTTCCATGTGTGACGATGCTCACCTGCTATCTTATCAGCCAATATTGTACTTGCGTTTTCAGTAGATAGAGAATAATAATATATGTTTGTAGATGAGTTCCTCTTTGCCTGTCCCCTGCTTGCATTTTTGCGTGCACCACTATGTGAATTCCGCGATGGTCACAGGCGCGCGAAAAGACGATCCACTCGCTTGAGATTGCAAAAATTTGCGATATATAATTGAATTGGACAGGACCGGGAGGTCAGATCAGTAACGCATTCACCCGCTTGTGCATTTTCAAATTTTGACCGAGAGCTGGGAACAGATGTATGGCATGAGGGAGAGGCCAAGGACCCGAAGGAAGAGAGTTGTTAACATGCGACCAAGATCCAGTCCCACTGTACAGCACGAGGAGAGATATAAGCAAAAAGAACGCCTAGAAATGGCGGTGGTTTGCCAAGGAATCGAACCTTTGACCTTCGCTTCACAAGACAAGCTCGGCAAAAAAGAAGTTGCGCTTTGGACTCGCGGGGAACTATGGTAAAGTCAGTGTGAATCTAACACACAACGCGGTACAGGATTGCTTACTCGAACCCCGGACCACTCCCATTCGTAACTCTTGAAGAGATGCTAAGGGAGTATTATACCACTAAACCACAAGCCCAGTTGGACCAACCACAAGGGTTTGGTTGATTGATGGAGGAATTCAAATTTTAATGACATATATAGACTAGTGAAAACACCACAGTATTGCCAACATCAAGATGACACCACCCGGTGTGAAGATCAGGTTGTGTTGAAAAATTTGCGTTCTGGCCACATCGATTTCCTGCACACCCCGCAATCATGCCAAGTGCCCCATTACCAGTCCGACACTAGCGTATAGCCTATCAATAGAGCAGAGCTCCACCTCGTCCCTACACCTGGCTTTCGACATTTCCATCTCGAAGATTGAAAGGAGCACTCTCTTCACCGGAAGCATTCATGGAAGATGTCGCTCGATAGAGAAGGTCCTACCTGAACAAAAGCACACCTCCGAAGAGGCGCTGCTAGATATATTGGGAAGAAACATTGCTACCTTCGCGGGCTGGTGGATGAAGCTGGACAGCGCCAATCTGCGGCACCTGCGGCATCAGAACGATAATGAAACAGCCAAATCATGTTTGGTTAAACCCGCCCCGAAATCTTTTCAAGAAAGCGGCCAACGCTGGTCTCTGAGAATCATCCACAATCTAAACGCTGCAATACTAAACGTGTTGGAATCGCGCCAAAAGCATTCCCTCAGCGCCAGCCAACGAAGCCTACTTCACCGCTTACGAGCCCAGATCGCCGATGAACAGGACGATGAGTGGAGCTTTCTCTATAGCTTTGTTTAGTCTCACTTACAAATTCGATTTATTTCGAGCATATGTAGGTAGCGTTTGTTGGAGTGTGAGTCTTGGCACACCAATGCTAAGGGAGTATTATACTCCCAAACCACATACCCCAATCACTCCAATATGTAATCCACAAACCCGCAGTTGAACTCTTGTTCCGGTCCATTTTAAGTCTGCATCTTTTGTTGCGCACGAATGCGCAAGGCCGGATAGCCTCAGTAAAATACATGTCGATGAGGGAACAATGGCAATGAATTTGTACAGGCTGAACATGATAAGAAATACTAAATAATTAAAAAGGAAGAGAATCCTCATCACTAAGCCCCGTCGTAAATGCACCAAACAAGAAAGAAAAGTAAGTTCGACTAGGTTTCAGTCGAACTCCTTTATTACGAAATGATACAGGTTAGCTATAATATTTACGTACGAGAGAGTATAACCCATTTTCGTTACACAGCATCTGTTACACAAAAGTTCAGCAACACGTGGCTTATTGACCTCTTCTGGCTATCGCTCGATTGTAGAGGACTTCAAGTAATGGATTGCTGGCAACTGACATGTAGGTGTGCTATCGTTCAGTGCACGGTTGGACAATTGTTTATATTTTCAAAGCTCAACAAGATCATTATTAGATGATTCTATCCTCCTTCTTTTGACATGCCAAATCGTCGCTTTCCGTTGCCCAGAACTTCCCTTCGAACTGTCGTCCTACCCGCCAATACCCATTTCCGCCCCATCCACAACTAATCACCAAAAAAATCCCAAGCTATCCACAGAAGTTTTCCTCCCAGTCCTCCTCCCACTCTTCCACGCTCTGCAAAGTCATGCGCGTGGAGCGCAGGTTCCGCCTTGCCGTGTAATCCAGCAGCGCCTGATACGTCCCTTGTGTGAAATGATACGAACCCGGATTGATGTTGAGAATGAAAGTCTTGACGCAGATGCGCTTGGTGAGCATGGCGGCAATGTCGATCCCGTGGGACACCTCGCCAAGCGGGAATCGGGCTGCGTCTTTCTTTATGCTTAGGGCTATGTAAAGTTCCTTTTCGGCGAAAGTCTGGCGGAGATACGCTGCTGCGCATTTGTTCACGAACATGAAGAAGGCTGATTGAGCGTGTGTGTTGGCCAAATCGTGTAGAAAGTTGCGGGACGCTGAATTGGTTGCGGATAGTGTGGATGTGATGTGCCGAATATGTGACAGCAGGTTGCCGAGACATTCGAACAGGTTCAGCGCTGTAGGGCTTCACGGGAAGCCATTGCACTTGACAATCAGCCGTGTTGGATCCGTGCAAGGCTGTTGAAGCTTGAGCACAAAAGTGTCCATCGCCTCGTCGCGGATCTGACGGCATGTCGCGAGGAGCGAGCAAGAGACCGATTTCGTCACTAGCACGATCTCTTCGCCGATACATGGGAAGGAATGGAATGTGTGATGTCGTGTCGTTGCTTCTGAGAACTTAGATTAGCCTGTGCCGAGGTGACTGCCTTTCATTGAGGTCCAGAGCTTACTCGTGACTTCCTTGTAAACCATCAAGCGAAGCTCTGCAGGCAGATCAAGGAAGCGGAAGGGTTGAGCAGGCATACTGGCGGCAGTAATTGCTCTCTCCAATACTGTGAAGGTGTGCAAATGATCATGTCAGAGAAGAGGCAGTGGTGTGTTGGTGAGAGAAGTTCATCTTGAGGCGGCAGCTGCACGCTCGAGCCTACCGGTACCATCTGCTTGGTCCTCAACAAGTCGTGACCGAATCCAGCGTATCGGTGGAAACGTCATAAAGGACTGAATCCGGCTCACGGTACCAAGAATTGCACTGACGAGGCAGTATTCTATGCAAGCCAAATGAGATTGTCGAAAAGTTGTGGTAGATTCAGTATATGCTAACGTGTCCAGAGGACGTGGTATCTTTCTTTTCCGCGCTGCCGCAATGGCAGCGAAATGCCCAAACGCCATGAAATGCAAACATTGTCAAACGCCAATATCCGTAAAGTCGTAAATCATCGTCGCTTGTTGACGCGGCCGCCGGTGAAGGGCTTCAGGGCGCCTTTGCCTCGCGAGGCCGGGAAGGTCATCTTATTCTGCGGCTTCCGGCGCTGCTGCTTCTTCGACATGCTCTTGTCCTTGTTGGACCTCTTCTTGGGTGTGGCCTTTGCGGCGCCATCGACGTCCATGTCTGTCAGGTCACTGTTAGCCTTTGATTCTCACTCAACCAGTGTGGTGGAAGCGGGTCAAAGGCGAACTTGAGGTCTCCGTCCTCGTTGAAGCCGACAATGTCAGAGCATAGCCCTAGGTAGAAGCAGAGATTCCGTATCTCGCAGTTCTCTTGTGCAGCATCTGTGTTGGAGGAGGTGGGATCGGACAGGGAGCGCGGAATGGGAGCAGTCAGAACTGACGAACCTTTGGCGAAGTCATCCTCCTTGGTTGCCTCGGTGGTAGTAGCTGGGATAGTCAGAAAATGTACGAAAGGTAAGAGGAACACGACTCACAATCTTCTGCGGTGTCCATCTCGGTCTTCTCGGGCTTGGGTTGCCGAATCGTCTCGAGCAGCTTCGCGTGGATGCGCTCAGCGCGGGCTTTTTCGACGGGACCGAATACTCGAGCGCGCAGCTTGGTGTGGTTCACCTTTTTGCTGCTTGCACGTGCGCTTTTGGCCATTGTAGCGAAGTGTGTGTCGGTTCGCAGTGGGCGTTTGGTGTGTGTAAGCGCGGCTTGGGGCGACAATTGCTGGAGACGCTGGGTGAAGCTGGGCGGAGGGGAAAAGTCGAGGCGTGGAAATTTTGGTGGCGGCCGGGGCTAAGGGCTCTAATCGATTGCTCGCCCGTGCACGGGTGCTCGTCGCCTAGTGACGCTGACTTTGCGACGACAAGCTGTGGAAGCACACGCGCGAGAGCCGCCGGGCCCGTCGACGGCGATATAACCTCTCCCGTCGCACTGAGACGCTGCTTGCTGTCTGCCTGTGTCTGCGCCGTGTCAGCGCTGCCCGTGTAGTGTGTCACCTTCTGGGAAGTCGCGATTAACGTCGGACCGCAGGAAACAGCAACCTCAGACGCCCACAGATATTGCCCCCCTTCACGCCCTCTCTCACCCTCTGTCGCCCGCTAGAAGGCCCTGTAGCAGCAGCCCCCAATGCTCCGCCAAACACATATATTCTGGTAGCGCCAACTCGACTTCCACCACCCCGGCCCTACTTCGACCCGCGCCTGCCACCCGCCATGGCATCGAGCGTGCAGCAGCTGGCTGCCACCATAACAGAGCGCTCCAGGACGCTGATCAACAACGACCTGAAGAAGATATGCAAGGAAGAGGGCACCTCGCAAACCGGAAATAAGGCTGCGCTGCAGAGCCGAGTCATTCAGCGTAAGTGTGCCCGCGGCGACACACATGTGGTGCTGGTTCTCGCGCCGGACTAACCTCACCCTCACCAGTCATTAATCATGCCGTCTCGAGGAACGATGCAGAAACATTGCGGCGGCTGCAGTACCGCGTGCAACACCACGGCGAAGCACCTCCGCCCGCCGCCAGCAGCAGCCCCGCCGCTCCTTCCTACGCCCAACCACGCGCACCTTCCGCCAACGGATACAGCATGACCAACGGCTACCAGAGCAACGCATCGTATCCTACATATTCGCAGCCCCCAATGCAGTCCCGTACGCCTCTCCTTTCGCACCACTGACCCGGACACGGAACTAAAAGTGACCAGGACAACCGTACTTCTTCAAGGACAGTCCCTTCTTCGAGATCCGCGAGCTTCTGATGAGTAATATTACGTTGGAAGGTGAGAGCATCCCTTCGTTGTGCGCGAGCCAGCCTGACCTCTGCAGCCTCGCCGAGCCATCGCCAAAACTGCTCACGAAACCTCATTCTGAACGACGCCCAGTGCGCTCGCCTCAAGTCGGACCAATCGCTGCGACTGCTCTTGTTTGGTGCGCTGGATCAGCCAATTAACCACTTTACGCGCCTAGACATTGCTTTTCCGTCGCAGATCGAAGTGCGCATCAACACTGACGAAATCAAAGCCAACTTCAAGGGCCTGAAGAACAAGCCGGGGTCCACACGCCCCGCTGACATTACTGATCAAGTGCGCAAGAGCCCTGCCAACTATCGCAACACCATCCAGGTGACTTATGCCTTGACGCAAAAGGCAAGTGAGCCACAGGAGGTTTCTTATCCCCAGTCTTGCTCTCTCCCAAGAATTGCGTGCTGACAGCAAACCCTAGAAGTACAGCCTCTTCATCTACATGGTGAAGAAATTCTCTGTTGGTGAACTGACGCAGCGCATCAAGCAACGCAATGTGATAA